GTTACGATTTCTCCCCTTGAAAATCTCCCTCATGTTGATAAGAAAAGCGAATGGATATTTTTGTCCAGTTTCAGCCAATAACTAATGAATAATTTTTTAAATTCACTACAGTTATTTTGATTATATAATTGGTGATGACTCTGCTAAATCTAAAATTATTATATCATCCTCAGAAAAAAGATTCTTATAGGTTGTGTTTATTTGCTTAACCTAATCACATCAGGATGTTAACAAGAGATTCATATAGCTATTAAAAATCAATTGGCCCAAATGACTGAAAATAGCTTTATGCATGATGTTCATTCAATTATTTTGTAGGCTCTCAAAATAGAACATTAAGTTGCTCTAGTAGAATAAACTTTATTTTGTAACGTGGGTGAGATACACAGGAAAAGAATTAGTCTAAGTCATTTTGTTCTTTTATTTTGGTCCCTTTTCTCTGCATACTTAGTGGAAGTTGGCATGAGAAACAATATTCCCGTGAAAGCATTAGCTGCAATTTTACACTTTACTTAGCATCCTTGAATTTCTAAGAGCTTTTCTCTTTAGTCTCTTTAGCTTAGTTTTTTTTTTGTCTGTTTTTACTTCTTTTTACATATTCACAATCGATCTAAAACCCTAAAACAAATTTGCAGTTCATTGTATTCTTTTAAACACGTTCAGAAAAGATAAAATACTCCAGAAAGATCAATCATCTACATGTGCAGGCTGCTTTCATCTTTTACCTTGCTGTCTTTGGAAGCAGTAGCACCACTCGTTGTTAGATATCAAACTGTCCTTGTACGTGTCACAAGAATTGAAGAACGCCCTGGTGCACGGTTCATTCTTGTCAAGGTAAATGCTTCCAAGCTCTGACTGGTCCAACAGGAGGTCATAGTTCGTATCAAGCCTGTTAAACATCCAGCCAAGGGAGTCTTTGCAAATTGGCAAAATGCTGGTATCAAATCGTAGAAGGCAAGGAAAAAAAAAAAAAAAAAAGTAGATAACAGGAAAGATACAGAAGGGACCATGCTCAAAAATGCCGCATCATGGAAATTGCTCCCGTGAATAGTATGATCTATAGTGCAAAATAATGGTATGCTATTGAAATACTGTGTATAAATTATATCTCAACTTTATTTTAAAAAATCATTAAATTCATCTGGTAAGAATATTAATCCTACCATCAGTCTAAAAGCATTTAGAAATATGAGCTTTCTTGTCAAATATTATACCTATAGTGCACACATTACGTAGAATAATAAATGACCTACAGTGATTTCCAGGAAAATGTTTCTCTTGCAGAATCTTAGTGATTTCATAAATCAGGAGAGGGAAGCTTAAGTAGTTTGCAATGTTTACAGAACTAAGCAAAGGTATAAATTACAGGTAATTCACTGGAGTCCGTGTGTTTCCACCTGTTATGTACATTGAATTTTGTGAAAAAGGATCATACTCAGCTCTAGCCGTGCTTTGAAAGTTAAGATATTTCATCTTTGCTCTACGTCTTGGAGAAGGCCATCAAAAAGATGACTGCTAGGAGCAGTCTGCTGCCAATATCAGAGCTGCTCTTACAGTCTGCATCTTTCCAAACTCTTCTGTGGAAAAAGGGCCACAAGGAACACACAAAGCTCATTATTCTTGAAACCAGAGCTCAAAGCTCGCCTCTGTTTTTCCTGCACTGACCACAAAGAACATGAAGATTTGCATGTGGACATGTGTGAGAAATCCAGAAACAACCAGGTCTCTTCCATCTGTACAAGCTATGAGCTGTGTTCCATATGCACACATTTTCACCCTGTTCCATGCATGGTTCCTGCCATGGAATAGGGATTCTACAAGTGCGCCATGCTAGGTGCCATTCATGCATCATTATTTGAAAGCACCATGGCATGTTATAGTTACTCCAGGCATGAGCTATTGATCAATTACATCAGCCACAAATTACTGGAATTTTTAATATTTTATGATCTTATTAAAAAAATCACAATTTCTTTGACATTCATGCTGGTGAGTCACGTTTGGCTTATGTTGCATGTGACCAGGCAGTTGAGCACACACTTGAGTACAGAATTAGTGCTTACTAAATGCAATTCTCCTAAAAGCTTTTAGGTTAAAAATGAAAACAATGAAAGGAAGAAAACTGGTGACTGATGACTCATTACCTAAGGCATCAAAAAAGTTAAAATGAGAGCTCGGATTAGCACACAGAAATTCCCAGCTTCTACTACTCTATTATTAAAATAAGTAAATTCTATTTGCTTCATATAAAATTCAGTTTGGGTCCTCACAGCATGTATGTATTTCTCAGGATCTGATCCTTTTATAACAAATGAAATATATACAATGTCTAATGGCTTGCTTTGGGAAATGAATAAGCTAGAGAGGGAATAGAAAAAGGATGCTTCATGTGACACTGCCATTGTGGACTTCCAAGACTACTTTTACTAGGTTGTTTTTCATTAAATTTTCTTAACAAAAATCACAGATGTAATTTCTCTAAACACCATCACTAGAACCTCTTCTAAAATAAAACAAATCTTTTTTTACTTTTGTATCTATATGCATCATTCAAGGTGATTATCATTGTCAGTAGCACAATTCTTAGGTCTTCTAGTAACATACTTCTCTGTACTCACATAAATCTGATGCATGGTTTGGGTTTCTGCTGATAGGTTGGAACAAATATAGATTGCATGCTGGTGATGCAAAAAGAGGAGAGTCTGCTTTTCTCCTCCAGAAGAGGAACATGGAAACAACAAAACGGAACACGGAAACAGGGATGGATCTTTTGCGTCAAAGTAAATTATTGTACAAAAAAGCCCATCAGTCTATGGATTTTTTTTTTTTTTGATTGAAGAATTATTTTCAAGCTTGGAACACAATACTTTTAAGTTAGTGTTTGTGGTCCATATTGGAAAAACACACATTTTTATTATTAGGTTCTAAATATTTTAGGATACTGTGTTACATATTTAATAAAGGTCTCCTATGAAACAGAAAAAAGAAACTGCGCTTATTCCGTTCCCCTCATTCAGTTTCCAATATTGCTTTAAATAGAAAGAAATTTATCTGGGGTGACAGTGACAGACCAGGGAACAATTCTAAGGCCTCATGCTCTACCGGATGACAGTTGGAATGATGTATTTCTGAAGACATTTCCTTATTTTTCCTTCATTGCCATAACCAGAATTAACTTGTGAATTAATCTCATCCTCCATTTCTATTCCTCCAAATTTTCTCACTTCTTTAAAACAAGTGTGTTCGATAATGATATCCCACTGGATGTTCATCTATTAAGTTTGTCATAATTATGAACAGAGTTTGAATGAAAACATTTGCACTGGAAACAGCAAAAGAATTACAAAACCAATAATTTTATTAATTAGTAGGAAGACAGGTAAGTGTTAGAAAAATGCCATTATGTTCTAATATATTCTAGAAATTTAATTAAAATTATATTTGAACTATAGCATAATATTTCAATATATAATTTGAATCTGATATTTATTATGACATTCTAGTCAACAAGGATATACCATAGCTGACATGTCAAAATTAATAAACTATTTTAAAAGAAAAAGAAATTACATAACAAACTTATTGCATTAGTTCTTATTCTTCATTAGTACATAGAGAAAAATAACAATTTGTTTCATTATAGTTGTCCTAAAATATCTGTGAAGTTGAAACATATATTAGGGAAATCAGTGTGGCTTATCGGTTCTAGCATTTTACTAAATAGTTTTGCCATGTAATCATTTCAAAAAGCAATCATGTCCTACCTTAAAAGTTTTTCTTTATTTTTCTTCTAAATATGCTTCTCAACTTTTCTTCTTATTATTACTATTTACAGGTCAAATATCCTTCTTTTAGCTCTTACTATTTCCTAGCTCTTAATACTTCGTGGCATTTAGAATTAAAGTGTTTCACAGAGAGAAAGATTCATCTTCCAGTGCTCGTTTTGGGATGCAAGGCAAGCCAAACTCTTCAGGACTATCACTTACTGTGGGGTACTGCAGAACTGTTTGAAATATAGAGCAAATATTGTCTAGATGATAAAGATTTTTAAAAAGCCAGAATACTTCCAAGGAAAGGCACATGTGGCCACAACAAATGGCATCATTTAATCAAAAACGGAGCTGCCACTTCCTCCTGAAGAGCTAAACCACAGCAAGAGGGTTACCTGAGCACCATGTTCCCAGCATAAACCCTTAACAGATTAATGGGATAAAGTAAAATTCTTGGTCCAGTCTTTAAGAATCTTTAGGCAACTGTCCCAGTTTATGCTAAGATTACCCAAGAACTGCCCTCTCTCTACTCTTATATTGAAAAATAATACAGCTTTTACTCGTCAAGGTGACACACTTGAATAAAAAGAGCCAGCAAAGCAGTTAAGGATATACCAGGAGTTAAACCTTTGCCAACATGCTTTGGCACATTAGGTACAACTATCACCAGGCGACCCAGAACTAAGAAATCAATTACTTCAGGTCACAGACTGCGAATTTTATCACATTGGGAATGCTGAGCTTGCAGAGTTTTCAGAGCAGGGACACGTACTAGAAAACAAGGGAAAGCAAAGGGGGAAAATAGTGTACTAATAAGAATAATATTTTTTCTTCTTGGTAATGGCTAGGCTATTACACCGAAAAGAGCAAAATTGTTGCTTAGATATTTAAATTAGAGCAAAGATTTCTTTTTCTCATTTTATCTGCTTATTTGAAATCTCTTTCCATATATTAGAATGAACTATATCTGATTGCCATCTAAAACTAGTGAAAATGAACGAGAAGGATTTAGGGTTTAACTGAACTTCACCAATGCATATACTGCAAGACAAGTTGATTTAGAAAACTGTAAAGTGCCAGGTTCTTCTGGATAAGCTCCTTTCCTCAACCAGAGCAATCTCAAAGGAAAATATTGCTGGGAAATAGACTCCTCATGCATGGCTTACCCAATAGCCATCAAAACATTACAACAAAAGGAGCCAACAGAAAGTTCCTGCATTTCTGTTTTTTTTCTCAGGGGAGAATTTTGATTCTTAGTAAATATAATCTGCTTTTCAAGGGAGATTATTGTTTGCCAGGTTATTAAGCTTGTAAGTAATAAATCCTTGTGTGCATTGGGGAAGATGATAGCTTTTGTGATTGTTTATGTGGAAATCAAAGCAGTATTTTGGGTCACATATTGCATTGTACAAAAGTTGTGTATTTAGTATGCCAAGAGAAGCTGCATGATTCCTTCCAGTATGCGTTTCCAGCAAAAGACAGGGACAAATCACCCAAGTGAATAAACACATGCAAAATTAACAGTTCTTCTAGCAGTGAGGGTTTAAATCACTAATTAGAAAATGATGCCTGCTATTAGAATGTAAACTGCTGAACTGTAAGACAACTGTAAGACTTTTCACTTGAAATTAAAGACTAAACAAAATATTTCTGATAACCAGAAAAAAATAAAACAAAGTACTAATAACACTAGGAAATGGTTAGTGTGCTAGAGGGCAGATGTCTAGAGCATAGACCTTGCTTGTGCAGCTGCAAGCTCCACAACAAGAAGGTTTCAGTTTGTGTCAGATTTGTTGAATATTGCGATTATTGGATAACTTTTAACCAACCGCATGTTACAGCTGAGACCTGCAGTGAACAAGCTGCACCAAATTTCACTTCCTAAAGAAGTTGTACCAGAACATGCTTGAGGAGAACAGACTGAAGAAGGAAGAGGACTAAGCAGCTGTGATTGCTTTCTGTCATATTTGCTCTTTGTAAAAGGACTGATCGTGCCCAGAGTCTTCTGGCTCCTTACCAGCCCAAGAAAGAGCATTAGACTTTCTTGTCTAAGACTGTCACTGTGATTACCCACACAGGAGCAGAGCCAGGATTAGTGCAAGATTTAGGGGTCTAAGGAGTTTAAGGACTTAGGATAAAACCTTCAAGTCATTGACTCACATTTTATAGCAAAAGGTGCATGGAAATGAAATGAAGCAGACCTGCAAAGTGCATTTGTGGAAGTTTGTATCTTGAAATCTCCTTTTTTCCACTAAATTTTTTTTTGAGAATTTTACATGGAAAAAATATTCAAGGTGAAGACTATTGCTGAAGGCCACTGTTGACCACCTTGTCAACAGACTGACAGCAGGGATGAGTTTTGGCTATTTTATTAATAGGAGTGATGGCTAACTTAAAGAAAAAGGTAGTTGGAGAGAGAAAAATAAAATAAGAGAATTGCTAAAATAAACATCTATATAGCTTTATAGAAAATAGGTGAAATTACTCAATTTCTTCAGCCTTTTCCAAGTAAAAATGGTCTTACTCTAGGTTTGTGAGGGTATTTTGGCAATTCCAATATCATATCCTACCTAGATGTATGGCTTTTCTAGACAAGCTAATTATAAGCTATTTTCTTTAATATTTCTTCTATTTTCTATTGTTTTCAAAATTATTAGTATATTGGAATCTAAGTAATCACATTCTTCCCAGGCTGTAAGAAAATTCTGTTTATCTTTAGTCTTTCACTGTATAACAAGACAAGTGCATAAGAAATATTCTTCAGGTACAGGCTGCCAGTTAGCAAAACTGTTTGTGGGACTGTGGTATTTCCCGTGATCTGCATTTGATGCATTAACTCCCTTTATTAATATTTAAATTCATTATATAATTAACACAAAAACTAAATAAAAAAACTAAATGAGAAAATGTTTTTAAAATATTTGAAAATTTTGATAAAATTTCACTTAAGTTTTCAATGCACTAGCCATCTGCACAGGAATAATAATGGGACCAGGGAACACTTTTCTTTCCCATATGTATCATCTAATTAGACAAAACTGCTTAAGAAGACAAGATTGAAGTGTTTATACAGCATTTACAATGGTCCTCTTAGATATATACTGTCTGTATACATATGGATGCAAAAGGGAGTTTGGAAATTAAATCTCACTAGAATATTTTCTTTTATAAATAGGTATCAGTTAAAGAAAATTCTATACCCATTGGTAGAAATACACGATAGGTGTCTTTTTAACTTGATATCAGCATATTAACCTAAACCTTCTATTTTGTTGTTGTTATTTACCCAAGGATTCTTTTTTTGTTCTTTAGGTATAGTATTCATTATTGTAAACTTCACTGTGGATTATATAACAGTACAACAATTCTGAAAAGCACCAGCAAGGCATTGTCAACTAGTACTAGAGTTACTTTGGTTAGAAGGTCAGAAATGCCCTTTTTTAATAAATACTGTCCTAAAAGCCACCAGAGACTGAAATATGAAAAACCCAAATGTAAATGAAAAATCAAAAAGGATGTCACAAATTGCTTTAAAGTGATAATGTGAAAAAATAACATATACAACAATGCTTATACTTCTATAAAGAACACTAAAAGCAAACTATTTTTAGGATATTTAACACATAAAATTAGCCTGCTAATAAAATATATATATTTGTATTACATTATGTAGGGGAAAAAAAAAAAGAATATTTGATCACTTTCTGTCTCCAGGACTGCATTTTCCACTGCCTTTCAAATTAATTCAATCTAGTTAAAATGTCCAGAATACATAAGATCATTTGCCTTTGCAAGAAATCTGATTGCGGTTAGATGTCTGCAATTTGAGTAGTTGACTATACTGTGAAAAATAATTATGAAAAAAAATGTCAAGGGTCACTCTTCAAAATTTTTTTGCAAAAATTCTCAGTTTTCATCAAAACACCTTTTTGTTTTTTTTTAACAGAGAAAGAAAAGAAGAAAAAAAGACTATCAGAAAGTCTGGTATGTAACCATTTCCTTAAATTTGATTTGCTTTGTTTTAGGGGAAAAAAAAAGGAAATAAACACACCAAAGCCTTTTACTAACCCTCTAGATTATATTCTAACATTTTATTAAGTACTAGCAATTTTTAACATTGCCGTACAAAGCTACCATCTTGTTTATGCTGATGAAACATAAAATGCCTTTGAAACATAAAATCCAAATTAAACCCCCATCCACTTCATATTTTGTAAAACATTCTGGCTACTTCTGGGAAATTTCTGGTACAAGATTAAAAGTATAAGTAAAGACAAACATTTCAGGCAGCACCAAGCTCACAGGGAATTTAAAGTCAATAGTAACAATATAAGCAGACTCTTCCCGAAAATTGTAAGTTATCCACGTTAACACTTGATTCTGTCTGGTCGACAGTCTAACTTGTACCTGACATTCAGATATTTTCTAAAGTACCCCTGTGATTTCTTTATATAGACAAAGGCGAGACTTCTAAAACACCAGGCTTCCAAAAGGAAATTATGGAAACTGGGCCAGAGACTTTTTTGCTTTTTCTCAATTGTAAGAATTATACTTGTGGATAAGATCTTCCTCCTGAGGCTTTTAAAGATGAGTATGTTTCCCTCTCTGCCTTAGAAAACTCCTTTCTATATTGAGTTAGGTGCAAAAGATCCTCATGGACATTAAAAGGAAGGTAATCACAACTGCAAGCTAATGTTTTCTGCTGAAATGATTGCAGACCTCTCAAACCTATGGGTTTTGATATATTTCAACAATCTATTCTAAAAAATGACCCCATTTCTCAGAAATATTTTGGTCTATACCATCTAAAGTAATGCTAACACTAGCTATATTATAAAAGCTAGTGTCATTTCATTCATTTCTATATAACAAATGCATATTTAACAGACTAGTATTCTGCATTTCTCCTGTTGTTATTACTGGGCAAGAATTAGATCATGTGGCAGTAATGGAAACTGATAAGAATGTGAACTGCAAACATATTTTTTGCATTTTTTTGCAAATCAAATGCATTTTTTTAAAATATCAATTACAAGCAACAATATCATATTTGCACTTTATCTCAGGCACATTTTTTCTCAATTCTAAGAGAAGTGCTCCCATACAAGACACTCGTTTTTCATTCATGGTGCTTTACAGAATTATTTCTTCCGCATGAAGAACCATTTACATAAATAACATTTCCAATCAAATGAAATAAATGGATTCCTTGGGCAGGGGGGAGGGTAGGAAAAAGAACATGGAATGCAAAAATTAGCAATGAAAGTTCAAATACACCAAACATTCTAAAATGTTAATAATGGAGGAACCAGATGAGCAATCAGTGGTGGCCAAGTTCTGTGAATATTATGCTCTGGAGGAATTCATAAATAGCTTGCTCTTCACATTAATGAAAGGTAGAGGTTTAAGGCTTACAGAATCTAATTTGACTCTCCTCCACAGCAGGACTTCACTCTTAAGACTATTATTGCACATTTTAATTGCGATAAAAAAAGAAACTTTGATAATTACTTGTTGAAACTTTACTACTTTTTACAACAAAAAGTCTATTTCAACATTTGAGGTGGTTAAGAACATCATATGCCCCCTACTGTTTCCACTTCATTAGTACTCCACTCCTCTTTGCCAATTTGAAGTATGTCCTTGAAGATTTCATTTTTCTTACAAGCTTTTTCTTATCTAAGTTTCCCTGTAACAGTACTTACTGTGCCATCAAGTAGCAGGGATGGGTCACAGATAATTCAGGCTTCTCCACATTATTTCTTACAACTAACCATTCAGCAACTCACTTTTGTCTATGGAAAAGTTGCTCAAAATCTCTACTCATTCTCTTTTTCTCTTAATGCGGGAGCTAATTGTACAGCAGCTAATTGCTAAGTTCTGTCAAAAACATTTCCACTGTACTTTTCTCAGTGAAATATGGCTTTGAGTTCTAGCATTGAGATTGGTAGCTTCCATTTACTTTTATGAGCAGAAGTCCTGCCAAATGACATTAAAAGTTGAAAGTGAACATCATATTTCAGTACGAAACCATATAGCCCTGCTTCATAAACAAGACACTGACTTTGGAAAAGCACAGAGGTGCACAGGTTTCCTGCACATGGATGTTTAAAGTGCACAAGAATAAGGTGAGTCTTTGCAGTGAAAATACAGAAGTATGGGGAAGTATCAAAGAGAATATCAAATAACGTAAGTAGAAAATCTTACTGCTTCTTTCAGGCCTTTGTACAATCCTAATCTTCTTATTCTGAAATCCACTTTCGTGAAGTGCCTTAAACCAGTCTCTCAATCTGTTTGCGACCTCCCTGAATTCCAGGTCACTGCACACTGAAAAACAAAATGAAGAGTTGTTCAATGTTTTTCTGAGTGTACTTAAAAGAACATCCAAATTATTCCGAAGAAAGATAAAACACCTACAACAATACAAACATATATATCCCATGGCTTTCCATCCATCATAAATTTCACTTTCATTGCTTATGTAGGCTTTCAAAGTTTAACCACGGCCCTCAGAAATACATCTCCTAGGTATGCAGCAATTATACAATGATATAGCTTAAAGTTAAGAAAATATTTGATAAATTATTGCAAATGATTGCTAACAGGTCTAGCAGAGGCATTTGTATGCCATGCTGTAGACAAGGCAGTAGAACAGAAGGTTCCTGAGAGTCTTCTGGCATTTGCCCTGTTGAGGCAAAGCAATGAAAGCCCAACCCAGATAGGTCAGGGAGGTGGTTTTGATGGATACTGCAGGAGCTCCCAGGTTGCTCTCCCATGCTGAAGTCTGAAAAGAGGACTTTTAATTGACAGCAAAAGTATTCCAAGCACTTTCTGAAAGCAGTTTTGATCATATGTAGTTTCTCACAAACACAGCAATTTTGAGCTCTTAAAGCACACAAGACCAAATAGTGGGTCCACAGCACAGCTTCCCAGCAAAACTGCTTACAGTGAATCTCCAGGTTCAGCTTCCATATGCAGCAATCCGTTTCTGCACACCTCGTTAAAAAGACCACCATGAAACCCCTCTATTTTAGAGCACCACTGAAAAGTGTCATCACGCCACCAAGGGAGGAGACACGTGCAGGAGCCGGCATCTCTGCATTCGTGGATGCTCTCTCGGCTGAAAAAACTCTCTAGAAGCTTTGGTTCTCTCCATGAATAACTTAGGTGAACTCTAAACATACATTTGAATATATAATGAACAAACTGACATTTAAAAAAATCTCAGCGATCTCAGTGTGCTTCTTTCTTGTATAATGGAATCTTTTTTTCTTTTTTTCCCCAAATAATTCAATAGGGAACTGGAAACAATTTTAGTAGTGGCCTATGGTCATGTACGCTAAAAATGTCACACTGTGACAACAAGATGAAAATGGTCTCCTGAGTCAAGACTACACACTCATGATTTAAACATGTGGGACATTTATGTTTGCTACAACAACTGCACTTTACCAATTCCCACATTGGCTGACTGTCCCACATACAAAATAGACACTTCTGTGAAGCATCTTGCCCTCTCTATTTGGTCCTCCCGTTACAAGTGAAATAGCAGAACATTGTTCCTTTCTCCAATTCTCAATTCTCCAATGTTCCTTTGGTTTAAGAGAAAGACATTGAGAATGAGAACTCAATCAAAGAGGATGCAATAAAAAGCAATCAGCAGCGTTACCTGACCTGCCAGTAGCTACTTAGATTAGCTCAGGCTGCAAAATACAAACATGCACCAATATTTATACATTCATAGAGAAAGCATGAGAGTGTCAGGCATAAGTACACCGAATAATTCCATCGAATAATATTAACAGCAAGAAAAATATGGCAATTGCATGGTGGGGACAATGTATGATTTTTCCTTTCTGAAGAAGTGAGATATTTGCATGGAAGCTGAGCAACTCCTAAGCTACTTATGATATAAAAATACAACAGTGAGAAAAGGAAACACCACTTGGTGCTTCAGCATCCAATACTGTCCACTCCTGTGTATAATATGACCTAATATGAGATTTCCTGATTCCCTGTAAGTTACATTCCTTTCAAAATGGAATGCAGATAAGTAACATTTAAAAATTTAAAAATAAAATCCTATGTCAGATCTAAAATTGGAAAAGAGCCTTCATAGCCTTCTTTTCCAAATTTTGTTTGACACTTCAAATTATGGTTTTTATGCCAAAATAGAGAATAAGAAAAATATCATCATTTTTGTTTTTCATTTTAATGATTTCAATATCTTTATGACAGGAATAAATCATCTTCAAAATCAGGGCAATGCAAAACAGACTGATTACGACTGTCATTTGCTTATTTCACGCCCCACAGCTACTCAAGCGCTGGAGTCAGCTCTCAAGCACAGCAGGTAATTGCATTTACTGTATCATCAATTTAAATGCACAGCAAATTTTTGGTTCATGACACTTCTAGTATGTCAAGTAAAAGCAGATGTCTTCTATAGACACAATTTACTCGAAAGTTGCTGCAGAACTACACTAATGTGTACACTTAATTTACATGGACAAACTGTTCTCAGCAAGGATTTCTAAAAAGGTCTCCTATTACAGGATTTGAGTACCACTTTTTTATGAAAGAACATGCAGTTCTCTTACTAGAAACTCAGAAGATGATTTAAATATAGGACTAGCCAGAAAATTAGAATTCTTCCCATGAAAATTTCTATTAAACATTTCATTTCCAAAGGATACATAAAACATGTCTGAACTTTGAGTTTGTTAAATAACAACTTAGGGTGAGATTTCATTTTGATCGATGGAGAAAAAAAATTATCAGAGTTTTTCTGGCCTTCATCCTCTGCCTCCTTTCCTTTTCTCTATTTTGCTGTTTTCCAATGAGAAAGCTTCGAGTTTCTATATATTTCCTTTTTTTTCCAGAACATTTTTCATGACCTAGCTATCTTATCGTTAAAGTAGCAGAAGAAAATAAAATCATGTATTCTAACATGATATTCTAAAATGTATTACGTAGCAGTATTTTAATAATGTATCTCCTATTTTCTGACTTCCATTATGTGGAAGAGGTTGGAGTTACATTAGTTTAATTCCCTATCATCTGATGTCAGTATTCATTCACTTCTATGGTTGCTGCTGCATATGGTCCTCATTGAATATTCCAGAATATTACCCTGTTTGAAGCATTCCAGAAACAAAAAACAAGTTTCTGAAAGTAATTCTTTTGTTGTTGTTTTTGTTTTTAATTGTGATTCGTGGAAATAAGGCTGATGCTATGGTAATGTGAAAAACATTAAAAAATCCCTTCCTGGAACACTACATTTTCTACTGAAAACTGACACAGATGAAAACAGACTTACATGTACGTATGTAAGAAATTCAGTGTATTAGGAGGCAAATGCATCCTTAAAGTAGCATAGCTATTTCTATAGCTAGAGATAAGCATATCCCTTTCAGAGACAGAGGGAGATGTCTCAATCCCCTTGAGACAACATCTCCACTTCCTAAGTACCCATATAAAAAATGCATGGACTGCTACGTACGCCCCTGCAGTGCCTGGGAGGCTGCACTCATTACCCAGCCAAGTTACAGAGGAGCAGAGAAATAGGGGACTTGATAAAGAAATTTCCTTGAGAGAAAATACTGAATCTTTTGACACTTCCCAAAAATAACTCGGGCAATGAATCCCACTTTGGTCTTATTTTAGCCCAGAAAGGATGCAACAGAAAAGAAAAACCTGATATATTTCTTCAGGTTTTCACAACAGTGCTTACAATGTGTTGCACAAATAACAATGCTCTTAGCATCCAGAAAGTCAACATGTTAACATTAAAGCCAAATAATATTTTCATCATTAAAATTAGATATCTTACATGAATCAAAAAGGCCCTAAAACACCTGCAGGATTGGTACAGAACATTAATATGTCTACTGATTTAAAGATTCTATTTTTAAATTACACCATGATTGCTATTCCACAGTAATTCCCAGTAAGTTTAATTAGCATTAATACAGTACATGAAACAGTCAACTTTTTATTAAACTAGATTCCACATCAAATTATGAACATGCAAAACTAGAAAATGTAAAAAAGTTTTTAGCATGTTTTCCCATTAGTAAAACTATCTGGAAGCTGCTCTGTAACTGTCATATTCATCCATAATTGCAAGTCTTGGTATAATTCCAATTTTATATAGGAGGGCCATATTTTACAAATGTTCATTAAAGTGTTTTTGTAGAATATGTCTGAATAGCCAAAAGCAAATTCCAGGACAAGACTAATGTTATTTTTGACAGCTTTTTGTTTAACTCTGCTTTACAACTAGTACTTAAACTTATTCATCAGAGTAAGTCTTATCACGACCTAATTAATCATGAATACTGCTTGTTTTATTTTTTATTCAGATCTTAACCTTTTTTTCATTTGGATCAATTGGATCAGATGTCTCCTTGACCACAGAAAAGGAAGAATTGGCACACTGAGTGGTCATTGTGAAGCTGCTATGAAAGTAGAACAATTTTTGGCTTATTTAATTTAGCTTATTTGACTCAGTATTAGACTTAGCCACAGTCTAAGAGGAAATTTTGCCTAAGGACTTAAATGATTACAGTACATTGTAGGTAGTAACATGATTCCCTTTTTGCTTACTAGGATTATTCCCTTCTGAAAGAGAACCAATGCTTAAAAGACACAAACCAAAGTCTAAACTTACAGCCTTCAAATAGACCAATTGAACAGTCAGTAAATATTATCTAAAAATATTTCTCTACCAATCTGATGGACATTGCTTCTCAAGTCTTAACATCTTGCACAAAGTCCCATTATTTTAGCTCTTTTTCAAGAAGAAAATGTTTTTAATGACAAGAGAAGTCATTTGAAGGAAAAAAATATCACAAACCTTTTGGAACGTGGCCGGAGAGCCTCTATGTTGGTAGATTAAGTGAGATGCTGGGAGGATTCACTGTTTTGATATTTTTAGATAAACTCTAATTTTCTTTTCTTGCTCTTCCTGAAAGAAAATTCTTTTCTTTCTGCTTATCCTCTCAATTTGCTGTGATTCTTGCTCTGAAAAGGATGCAGTAGTGACCTCTGCAGAGAAACTGTAGGGATGGGCTATTCAGGCTAGGATCCTGTTCCCTCTGCAGTTCTCTGAAAATTCTTACCACTTAGGTCGTTAATATCAAAAGAAAATTAAAAAAAATCTTTTTCTAATGACTTCTACATGTGAAAGATATGATCTGAAACCCTAACAAACTTCATTTTTAAAAGCAGTTGCCACATTTCAGACTTTTGTTCCTGTTTTGCCATGCAGAAGGAAAGAAGCAAAAAATAGGAAATAGTAAATTTGGTATAGTAACATTTTCCAC